GAAGCATAAGTATGTAATCTGAAGAGGTTTACATCTAGGGTGGAAAGGAATTTGGTTGTCCTGGACTGCCTTACTTGCCAAACAATCCAGGATTCCCATGACAATGGTAAAAAGATAGGGAGACAATGGATCTCCCTGTCTTAGTCCTTTGCAAGCCCGTATATTACCACACAGACCTCCATTAACAGACACTTTTATTTAGGGGTGATAAACGGTTAGTCAGTTATCGGTTAAAACCGATAACCGAATCGATAAAGTCGGTTAGTGGTTAACTGATAACCGCTACTTTCTTATTGATTTCGGTTTCGGTTAGTAGTATTTTGGTTAGTGGTTAACCGCTAACCGATTAATTGGTTAGCGGTTAACCGATAAGAAAACCGATAACCGCCTACTAGTGTGACTACATGCTTTTTTACTTTGGCTAAGGGAAAAGGTTGTAAGATTCAAAACCAATCAAAGTTGCAATTCCAAACATCCCAATTCTCACCTATTGCAAACAACCCTCCATCAAGAGTCTCAAATGTTTTTAAGAGTTAGAACTCGAAAGTCACCCCTCTCTAAATCCCCTTTGCACTCGATAGAGTGAACCTTAGGTTGATGACTATGGGCTAGATGAAGATCTTGGAGTAAATGATGACTAGGGCTTGATGAATTGGAGCGAGATCCTCAGATCATTTAGGTTGATGATTTGGAGATAATGAACTTGTTATTTGTGTCTTGTTGTGATTGTGACTTGTGGTTGAATTGTGGGCATGTAGACTTTATGTTGTGGAGTTGTGGTTGAATTGTGTGGTTGCTTTAGGCTTTATGTTCAATTGATTTAGATGACTTTATGGTGTGTGATTATAGAGGCTGAAACAAAAGCAGGTCACTCAAAATTGAGGGTGAATCATTAAAAAAGGTGGTTGAAATTCGGTTTTAGGTGGTCGGTTTCTGAACGAAAACTGAGAAAGTGAACCAGAACCTGCAGTTTCGGTTAACCGCAAGGGAAAACCGAAACCGATGTTTGCGGTTTTCGGTTAACCTAAGTCTCTGTCGGTTTCGGTTTCGGTTAGTGATCTTGGGACAATTTTGGTTGCGGTTAACCGATATTTCGGTGCGGATAAACCGAAACCGCAAATCCCATAGCCTCCATAACCGTAAAAAGAAATTCCCAATTTACAGAATCAAATGCTTTCATTATGTCAATCTTAACCACACATCTTGGTGTTATGTTCTTTCGATGATAGTCCTTCACCAGTTCAGATACAAGCAGAATGTTATCACTTATAGCTCTACCCTTGATAAAGGCACTTTGTGATCTACTGATAACACTAGGAAGCACTAATGCAAGCCTATTTGCAAGTATTTTCGAGATTCCTTTGTAAAATAGTGTTGCAACAAGCAATAGGTCTAAAATCTTTAATTTTTTTCAACACTAGGGGTCTTAGCTACCAAGGTATAGATAGTACTATTCACTATATATGGCATAAAACCAGTAGAAAAGAAGTCAAGAGTTACCTCCTCAACTTCCCTTCCAATAATGTCCCAGTGAGTTGTAAAGAACTCAGCAGGGAATCCATCAGGCCCTGGAGCCTTATCCTTCTCAAGCTTCAGGAATGCTTGCTTTACTTCATCCCTGGAGATACCAGACATTAGTAGAGCCTGTTCATTACTGAAAGCTTGTGCTTCAAAAGATCTTGATAAAAATCCACATAATGTTGCTGAACATTCATATCCTCAGTGCCAATGAGCTTTGTATAAAACTCCACTGCAACTTCACCAATTTTCTTAATAGTTTTGTTGTTACCTCTCCTTGCTCATTCAACCTGCGAGTTATCTGCTGCCTTTGAGTCTTGACCTTAATAGTTTTGTGGAAAAAAGAAGTATTAGAATCCCCCTCTTTAATAACCTGAACCCATGACTTCTGCTTATAGAATAGCTCCTTTTGCTTTTTTTAATGCCATGTAAACCTGACTAACCCTCTTTTCTTCATCAATATACTCCTCAGTAGGATTAGTAAGCACTGCCATCTGAACTTTTTTCAATTCCGCTGCTGTTTCTTTTACTCTACTAGAGGTGTCAGAGTATTCTACACAATTCAGACCCTTCAACCCTAGCTTTACTTGTTGCAGCTTTCCATAGAATATATAGTAGGGGTAACCAGTAACTTGTTTCTGCCATGTTGTCTTGATAATGTCCAAATAAGAAGGATGAGATTGCCAGAATGTGAAGTATTTAAAAGGCTTAGGAAGTTTTCTCAGGTTTGGGGAAGTATTTAGAATCAGTCCACAATGGTCAGAGACCCCAGAAGGATTGGTATGGGATGAACTATCTGTGAAGTTTTCTAACCAAGCTTCATTCATAACAATTCAATCAATCCGACGAGCAATAGGATTATTTCTCTGTCGATTACACCAAGTAAACCATGTCCCTTCTACCTTATGATCCATCAACTCCATATTTCCCATCCAGCTTCAAAAATCCTGCATACTGTGAGTGATTTGTTGAGCATTGGATGCTTCATTTACCTTAGCTATTGCATTAAAGTCATCAAGCAGCACCATCGGAATACTATTATCCTTCCTAAGCATAAGCTCCTGGTAGAGCATTTTCCTTTCAGCTTCCTTGTTTGGGCTATAAACAAACACAATCATAAATGACTTACTATCTTCAACCAATATCTGAATAAAATGCTCCCCTTCTTCAATTCGAGATACCTTCAATCCTGCCTTCCAGAAAATCCACACCCTTCCAGACTGAGATTTTGAATAGTTAGCTAAATGTTTCCAGGCAGAAAACACACATGTTGTTATTTTATTGCAATTTTCTTCATGCACCCTTGTTTCTAATAGGCCTACTATATCTATCTGCTTCAGCCTCAACTGTTCAAGAACAACTGAGTGTTTATCAGGGTCATTAAATCCCCTGATATTTTTTCCAGCTAAGAATCTTCATTTACCCCGTTTCTTCTCTCTCCCTCTTCCTTTGGGAGGAGAAGGAGGAACAAAAATAGCTCGAGTACTTCTATTCCTTGTCTGGCTAGGATTGGACTGCTGCCCTAGGCTGTTAGACCCTGACCCTACCCATACTTTCTGCTTTCTACTCATAACCAGAGTGAACCCCTCAGAATCCACTATTCCACCTCGAGAGGATGGAGTTTTTGATAACACAGATGGCTGCTCAGCCACCCTTCCCAGTACAACTTCATCAGGGACAATTACCACCTCTTTACCTTTCTCATGGTCAGCCTCTTTCCCCACTTCTAAATTTCCTACTAGAGTTTCATTTTCAGTCTGAACCGCAGCCATTCGTACTGTACCTTCCAACACTTCTGGAGCCTCACCGATAACTGGCACCTTCTTCACCCAAACTTTTATAATAGGATCCGAGGTTTTGGCACAAGTATGGCCAAAGCCATTACACTTGTCACAGACTTTAGGCATATGGCAGTATTCAACATCAATGAAAATTTCAAATAACCCATCAGGCGTGACACTCAATTTAGTTACCGGGTAAATGACACATTTGGTCACTGAGATTATTAAATTGTGTTATGTTTAGTCACTAGAAAAAATTAATATCAATTTTGGTCACTCGAATTACCGAAACTGGTCAAATTTAGTCACTCTCCCGTCAGTTTCCGTCCAACTCCATTAATGTAGTTGGACGGAAACTTTTGGGAGAGTGACTAAATGTGACATGTTTCAGTAATCTGAGTGACTAAATGTGACATTTTTCAATAATTCGAGTAACCGGAGTTGGACAGAGGCTACAGAAGAGTGACCAAATGTGACATGTTTCAGTAATTCGAGTGACCAAAATTGATATTAAATTTTTCTAGTGACTAAATATGACACGATTTAGTAATCTCAGTGACCAAATATGTCATTTACCCTTTAGTTACCTTATTCGCTACTGCCTTTACCTCAACACAAATCTGAGCGAAGCCAACCTTCCTACCCTAGGTAATTGACTTATCCATACAGAGCGGCCGGCCCAGGGAACTTGCAACCCTACCCAGACCTTCTTTGGATGAAAGCTCTGTCGACAGATGAGAAAGCTTGATCCAAATCGGCAGTGCAGAGTTATAAAGCTTCAGCGGACTGATACCAGGCTCCCATTTACGAAAGAACAACAGATTTTCCCTATGGTGCCAAGGACCATTCTCAAACACCCACTGGCAAATATATGCATTCGCAAATTGAAATAATACCAGTCGGCGCCCCAGCCCCGAGAATCGTACTTCACCATCCTTACCCATAGCCAGTTCGCCCAGTACCGGATTGATGCTAGTGAAGCTGGACGATCGATAAATTCACCAACCAAGTTATTCTCCCAACGCTTCGAACCTTCGTCTACCACCTCCCTTGGAATTCTGAGCGAGCCATTCACATACTCAGGCTCATTGTAGTCGAGGCGATTATCTTCTGGAAATCCAAACAAAGAAACCCAAGAACGACCGTCACCGAACACCGTTAGTGACGGCCGCATCGCCAATTTCACGATCTAGGGTTCAGAGAAAACGGAGAGAGAAGAGAGTTTGCTTAATTTCTTTTTGAATGAAATAAAATTCTATTATTTTTGTCTATTCTCTTTTATTGTTAATCCTTTTATTATTCATTCAGCTTTTGTTCGGATCTCAAACAATATGCCACGACTCAGGTCTCAATTTCAAAATTCACAAAGAATTCTAGCTAAACCAATTTTCAATTTTCGGTTTTCAATTTTTTGTTTGTTAGCAAACGACATCGTTGTTTTCTTAAGGATTTTTTTTTCCGTTACCACGACCATTCGAAATCATTTTACTAGTGTGCCCTTCCCTCTAGTAAGTTTTGAAATTTCAGACTAACGGCCTACAAGCCTTGCCCTAGAAAAACACATTGGCTCGTTAGGATGGAACATTCTCAAAATGAGGCAATTTGGGATAAAAGTCTCATTTTAGAAAATGAGCTATTTGTATGAGGAAATGTTTACATAATTGTCTTGTTTGGCTTGTGATTTGGCATGAGACAATTGTGATGAGATATTTTATGAAAATACATATTTGCCCTCATTCTTTTACCCTTCTCCATCTTGGGAAAGGAAGAAAGAAAAAAGAAAGTAAATAAAAGGGGTAAGATTGGGAAAAGTGACCCACAAAATGGAGCAACGTAGATTACCTCCCTCCCACCCAAGTAATTGACATTGACCCATAATGAAGCAATTTCAATTGCCTCATTCATACTTTTTGCCGCCAAATGGGATAATTTGGGGCACATTAACTCATCACTTTGATCCATCCAAACGACCGCATGCCAAAGATTATAACTGTGAAATGAAAACCTTTCAAACGCGATGCAATCAATTCCTCGGACTAAGGTACTGTGTTCACATTCACAATTCTTCACATGGGAATGGGAACTACCCAGCTACTCTTGACGGACATTTTACTAAAGAGCCCCAAGGTTCATACTTTCCACACACCACAAATAATCTTCCATCTGCAAGTCCTTCCTTCTTTTCTTTTCTTTTTTTCTCTCTCTCTCTCTATCTCTCTCACATCTTGCTTTTTTTCTTCATCATCACACGCTTTCACAAATCAGTGTTTGTATGCATATATTACAACACCCTCCTCCTGCGGAATCGACAGAATCCAGACTTGTGCTGAATCCACCTGAAAAGAATAATGGCTGGCTGTACAAACAAAGAATTTACATATGGTAAAGAACAGGGATCTGTCCCGATAGAGGAGGCCGGGTGAACTACTTTTTGTTGTTAATCTATGACGGCTGGTCCGAATCGCACTTCAGAAGGGCCATCCTTTGAGAACGAGAGTATCCCTGCCTATTGTTGAGGATGTCGATGTAACTGCGAAGCCTGAACCGGTCCGAGTTTGTGAGTGAAAATGGAGGGTTCAGAATGAGAGAAGGTGCTTCAACTAGAAGGAACTCAAGCAACCTCACTGCTTTCGAATACAACAAACTTGCGCTTTCCATGTCTCCCATTAGCTCATCTACCTGCTTAAGACATCATCATCATCATAAGACACTAATCTTCAAACACCATTATTCTTTAAATCTTGGAATCGAATCGAATTAAACCAACCTCTTTCCAATGTTAAAACTCAGATCACAGTGAAAATAGTAACTCACCCCTCCATTTCTTCCTAGAGCCAAGGCAGACTGGAAAATCGTCTCCAGCGCATCTGGCATCTCTATACTTCCTGCATTAACCCCCATGGTACATTGACAGTTGTGTGAACTTAAGAAGTGTATGCTTGAGCTTGACTCCAACATAAAATAAGAAGTGTATGCTTGAGCTTGACTCCAACATAAAATAAACAAACTACGACATCCAATCAGGTTTAAACTATTACTGCCATGCTGAACAGCCCAACTAGCCCTTCATCATGTATCTTTCCCCAGGGCTTTTCTAGGAGCTTTTCTTTCTCAGAAGCACAAATAGTGAAACTCAATGAGTTTTTTAGAAGCTGGCTTCTGGATAATTACATCACAAGCAGAAGCTCCAAACGAAAAGCTGTACCAGAGCTGGCTTCTGGATAATTTCTCACATCGACACTATTTTAAAACTAAAATTAACTACTTAAAAATACACACGTACACGATGTTCAACAATATTCTTATAAACTATGTTTCAAATTTTTATTCTTATTTATCGTCCTTTTAGTCATTTAGCATCATTTTGATATTTAGAAAAGTTCAACCAAATGCACCACTGCCTTTCGCAAACCATTAAACGCAAACAGTTTCCTATCTACAACAGTCTCTACATATATTCGTGTCGGTGAACAAGTATTGAGCAACTCATTAAAACAGGAAAGAGATGTTGATGATCCGAAAACTGTAAAAATAAAAGAGCACAACGTATGCATGTGTATGAACAGTTCCAGGTTATTGAGGTAAATTGGGAAAACTGCAGCTGTGCATAACACTTTCTTTTGTTAATAATCAAAGCATACCAGGTTCAATAGCATTGGCAAGTTCCTCAGCATGCTCAACCTCCCGGAGAAATTCTCTCTCAATTTGAGTGGTGATTGTCTCTGGCCCAATATCATCAGAACAACATTCCATCTCTGATGTACCATGTTTAATCTTACTGTTGCTTCTCCTCATCAATCTTATGCTTTCCTGGCTTGGACTTCCTTCAATGGCTGAAGCAGCCTGAGCATGGCATATATGCAGGGCTTGCTTCCAAATTGCAAGTATGACAAGCTGAATTGAGAATGCTTCCAAATGTCTGCCCCCTTCGATCTTTTCAACCACAAAGTGCTGATCAGAAAGCAGTACTACGCTTCTAGGAAAAGACCTCATTGATTTCAGAACTCACTGTAGGGTCTACTGATTTTCATAGACCATCTCCACTAGATTGCAGTCAGTTGTCATCAGTTGATTAAATAACCAACTTCTAACCTCTGCCTTTAAGATCAAATTTTAAGATGATATGGACCATTATTTACTTTCTTGGTTCTGCATTTTCAATTCAGCCCGTTTCTCTTCTATAACTCAAAGCTTCAGGGGCCAAGTTATTCCACACCACTCACGTACTTCAATAATGTAATCTACTCTAAAATAGTATACAAATTGTGAGCCTACCGAATCATTTCACCATCACTCGTCTATTTCAATAAGTTTTTCACACTTCCATTTCTAATATATGCTCCAGCCGACAACTTCTCCAAGTGATCTCATAATGGTTCAATTAAACGGAGCCTAACAGACCCATGATAAGAGGACAGGTAGAACATCATACCTTTTCTTGGACAAGTTCTGTTATGGTTGATGCGCACTGCTTCAAAGACTTTATCCTGGTCGTGCAGTCAGGTGATGGCTGCTCTAGAGCGTCTCCTATATCAGTAGATCCTTGAGAAGTGCCAGGAGCAGAGCCTGGACTATCGATGCTTGCATTGCAGGCAAGCCTAGTGGGATTGCTAGGAACAACTATAGGGACAGGAGCACTTGTTGTTGGTACTAAATGAACAGATGTTAGAGGGGCACTCTCAGACCTAAAAGGTATTTGGCTAGGTTTGGAATTGCCAGCCAAAGAAGAAGACACATCCAAAGGTGGTCCAGAAACCAAAACATAATCTTGATCAATTGACTCTAGAGAATCCATGACTGCATGAACCATAAGATATGTTAGAAAAACAGAAATGAAATGATTGCAAGGCAATACTGTGCTGCACAGTGATAATGGTAAGCCAAGGCACTAGACATGTCTTGGTTACCTCTCGGTCTGATGATGCTCACTGGCTTTGACGCTGTAGTCTTTGGAGTTTCACTTTGATTTTCATCCAAAAGTTTATTGATAGTGGGCCTAGCTATTGAATTTCCAGACTGGTGTCTGACTGAGACATGTCTTGATGCTATAATATCTACATCATGTAAGGCATTAGATGTCGCATCCCTTCCATCATTTCTAGCATCAAGAGAAAATCCATAAGTGGTCTTGATGGATGGCTTCCTAGTAGAGAAAGAAGGACTCCTATCAGGACCACTAGAATCATCGTCCAGAAAAAATGGCAGACAATCCTCCTGAGAACTGCCTCTTCCAATGGCATTAGTTTCAGACGACGAGAAGCCATCTGCAAATCTTGAAGGCCTCTGAGCCCTGCAAAAACTTTGGTGCTTTAGAAGGTGAGAGGAGAGATTTATTAAGGTCAGGTACTGAACTTCTACAAAGAGATACCTCAATGGTTCATCAGCTCTCCTCTGAGAAAGAAATGGGTGGTTAAAGAACTCCTCAAATGTCAACCGTTCCACTGAATATACAAAGGTGAAGCTCAGTTACAAATGCAAAGTAGAATATAAAGTTTCCCAAAGATCAAGATAATTTTTTTTTTTTTTTTACAATAAAGATCAAGATAATTATTAAATGGTACTCTATCTGCACTTTCAAAAATAGTCCCCAAAACAGTAATTACTCCAGTTTTGCTTACACCACTAAATCTGCTAAATGTTAGATAAAAGATGAATTTAACAGGGAATGTTTTCCATGTATACCAAATAAGACTTGGTGCAATATGTTGCTCTTTCAGAAATCATGAGAAGGTATTTCCCATTCAAATTGGTAAGGATGGGATACCTGGATTTCGACGCAGCAATCTGTGGCATAAGTCTCTGCACTCAGCACTCAACTTAACTTCTGGTGGAAATTGCAATTCAGTCGATTTCATGATATTCTGGAGTAACTGTGTAACAGATAAAGAGTAATGAGAATCACCAGCAAAGCTGCATGATCTTATTTTGACCATCTATAGCAGGGCTTTTTAGTATGCAACCTCGATACAAAGAGAAGATAATCATACCTGCATTTGGTTGCTCCCAGTGAATGGGGTTTTCCCAGTCACAAGTTGGAACAAGATGGCACCAACACTCCAGAGATCTGCCTGCGTGTCCAGTTCAAGATTAATGCTTACCCTCCTCACTTAACAAAACACGCCACATCCAATGTGAAAGCAAACGTCACCTTGGCATCATACTTCTGAAGTTGCATTATTTCTGGAGCCATGTAAAGTGGTGAACCGCACAACGTTTCAGCAACGCCTCTTGGTTGAAGAGATCTGGACCATAAAATAAAAATCCAAAACTGAAGAATCAGAAGAGCAAGAAGTGATTCAAAATTGGAAAGGGAATATTGTGATAGAAATTACCTAGCAAACCCAAAATCTGCAATTTTTAGTATGGCATTGTTGTCATTGGTGGACAGCAGGAGATTCTGAAGCAAGATTTAAGTACACATGATCAAAAGATAGACAAGTACACAGCTCTACCTGACACAGTCGATAAACACTATAGCCATGACTCCAGACTTCAAGCCGGACAATAATAGATATGGGTTTATATGATACCTGTGGTTTTAAATCCCTATGTATGAGATTATTATCACGGAGAAGTTGCAGGCCAGCAGCTGCGGAAAGGGGAATTCTCATCACATATCATCAGGCCTGGAAACTACGAGCTAGCCGAAAGCAACTAGACATGAAACGTACCTAATTGTTGCATAAAATGCTTAGCAAGTGCTTCTGGCACTCTTCCATGGCGTTGGATATACATAGATAGATCGCCCCCTCTGCAGTATTCCAATACAATGTGTATCCTACCGGGAACCTATTTCACGATGGCAAATATTCAGAGAGTAAGAGCAACATTAGGTATAATTGCGGTTATAGTTAATGCTGTAACTAGTGCAACGATGCCTACATCAATTCCTGGGAACTAAAAACAATGAGTCATTTCCTATGGCTCTCTCAGCCAACCAGAAACTGAACTTGGCTAAGGAAGACGAGCTAATTCGTAATCGGCGTTAACAAACTCCACGGGAAGCTTGCCATTCCAAAAATACAACTGGATAAGCCAAGGACAAAGAACACAGAACCTTCCCCAAAAAGTCAAACAAACAAATCATTTCCCCGAAACAAAAATTCGCCATTCAAATCAGGCAAGAGAAGAGAAAACGTAAACGTACCTCGATAATGTCGTGAAGGCAAATTATGTTAGGATGATTAATCCGCTTCAAGATGAAGATCTCCGACATGAGACTGTCCTGCAGCTTCTTATTAAGTCTACCCGTGACAATCTCCTTTATCGCCACTTCTGTGCCATGCACCCGGTGCCTAGCAAGCCAGACCACAGAGAAAGAACCCGACCCGATTTGCCGACCCACCATGTAGTCCCCGACAACCCTGCCTCCCCTCCCTCCTGTTCCCTGAGCCGCCATGGCTGCTGATGCTTAACCAAGCTCGATAGGGAGGAGGAAGAAGAATAAACCCTAGTAAAACGACAAAAACAAACAAGTCCCGGCTCGGCGGCGAGAGAGAAAAATCCAAAATAAGAGAGTGGTTTGCTGAGCTATGCCTCCGAGGCCGCAGGCCAAAGAGGAAGATGGATAGCTCCCAAGATTCGATGCAAGTACAGAAGAATTGGATTGGCGGAATCGAGACGATAATAACTAGTGAATGAGAAATAGGGAGGGAGGGAGGGAGACTGGGAGAGGCAGGCAGGGGAGAAGATGCAGAAAGGGGATTCGATTAATGTCGGCTTTTTGTCAATTTTTAGATGAGTATCAGATTAATTTTGGCAATCAGGAAGGACTAATGAGGGCACTAAATGGCGATTTTTTGTTTTTTCTTTTGCGTGAAGTGACTGAATATCAGGTTAATAATTTTACAGCTAATACGTAATTTTTCAATTGTTAGCTAATACGTAACTGGACTTCGTTTTTGGTATTATTTTCCAATGTAATGAATAATAATGCTGTAGTGAATGCGACTGTATATTATTTATGAGTCGAGGTGGGTGTTAGAGAGAGATGGAGTTGGACGGTAACGGACAACGGTAGGCCCCGTAGGCAGGTGCTTCCGTCTGTTGCAAGGTTGTCAACCCGCGGGTTGACCCGGATCCGGTCGAACTAGTGGGTCAAGGGTTAATGGGTCAACCGTTTTAGCTCGGTTTGGCCCGGAAATATAGAAAGAGTCATTACATTGCACTTATCCTCATAAATTATATCAAATCTTATCTAACATATGAGTTATAACATATAAAATTACACCAAAATAACATATCTTACTTAGATCCAACATATAGTGAAAATTCACACACACTTATATAACATAAATATTCAAATGTTCAACTTAGTATTCAAAAGATTGAGTTAAGCGAAAAGAAAAATTGGAAAATATGCGCATTTCGCAAACTAAAGAAAAAAATGACACAATTTGACCTCCAACCCGGTACCTAATAGCGGTCGGCCCGGCGGGTGTGTGCGGCCCGTTTTTCTCACCGGGTCAGGGTCAAATTGGGTCGACCCGTGGGTCAACCCACGGGTTGACAACCTTGGTCTGTTGTGTACTTGTGTTGGCCAACGTTTGTTTTATTTTTTCAAGATTAATTATTAGCCAAATCTTTTCGGCATTGTTACTCAAAATTAGGTATGGCAATTGGCCGGGTCGGGGGCGGATAGTGCATATCCGTTACCCTATCCAAAGTATTTCGGGTTTTACCTATACCCATACTCACCTGTGAAACGGGTAGAAAATCAAAACAACACCCATATCCGTTCGGGTTTCGGGTATCCACGGTTATGCATGAGTAATAATTTCTCTTCATAACTCCAACCAATATGTTAACATTCACATGTATTCTTACATTACGTAAGAGAAAAAGTACGACAAGAATTCACTAGAATGACGAAAATTATTTAAAACAACACAATTTCATAAAAATATTATATTTATATGCTAAATATAAAATATGTTAGAGAAAATAATGATTATTTATAGACAAAATACATATGCATGTGTATAATCGGGCGGGTTCGGGTCGGATAGTGAGAAACCCATGCCCGCACATTACCCGCAATATTCTGGTTCGGGTTTTACCCGTACCCACTAAATGTCCTTCGGGTTTGCATTTTACCCTACCTGATTACGCCGGATTCAGACGGATATCCACGATTACGGATATTTTTGACATCCCTACTCAAAACTAGTCAATTACTAATAATTAGTCAAATATTTTGTAATATATCAAAATATTAATCATTTTTACGTTATCATTAATGATTTTGTAACTAATTTCTTAGTTAAAATATTAAAATTTTGGAATGTTGACCACATATGTATCTTTCAAGTCAGTATCACGTTGTTAAATCAATATTACTAACAAAATTGTTAACACAAAGTTAACATATGACTAATTATTATTAATTCAATAGGTTTGGCTAATAAAAAATAATGCTGGAAAGGTTTGGCTAATAATTGGTGTATACTCTTTTTCATGTTTGTTTTTTTAGTGCAAAATACACTTGTGCATTTTTTTGTCAGTAATAGTCATTTTGGAGAAATATACAAAATAGCCAATTTGATTCCATTATTTAATGGCATCATCTAATAGGCTCACTAGACTAACTCTTTGGGATTCTTCTTGGTCGAGTGAAGAGAGAAGAAGGGTTCTCTCTGCTCTAATCGACTCCCTCCATATATCATTGATACACGATATTTACACATGTTTACACCCTCATTTCTTGATCAATTAGGCTTTGATTAGTGTTCTCCTTGGCCTATTTTACACTAGGTTGTGTTATTTTGTCATACTTAAGGTCCTAGCGAGTAAAGGGAGATATAACGCAAGTTTCGGGTCAATCGGAGGTCGTTTGGTCACTCAAAAGCGTCTCAAAAGTGGAGCTGAGAAAGAAACAAGGGCAGGCTCTCCACAAAGCACGGTCGTGTTTCGTATGGCACTTGCCAGTGTTTTTTATGTCGAGCATAGTGACGATCAGGAGCAAATACGGGCAAGCTTCCCTAAAAACACGGTTGTATTTCACTCAGCACCCCGCCAGTGTTTTTTATGCCAAGCGTGGCTTGTGAAGACTGCTGAAGGGATGCAAAGCACGGGCGGGACTAAACACGTATGTGTTCCCGATTGTGTTTACGTTCCTGCTCGGGTATAAGTATGAATTTTGTCATTTTTGAGAAGGAGAGCTGGATTTTGGATCTCAAACACCCAAGGGACGAACCAAGGGGAGATAGGGCGATCTAGAGCCATTCTTGGAGCTATTTTGGAGGATTCTTCACCATTGAAGCTCAAGGAACAAGTCTAGACGTGAAGATTGAAGATCTGGAAAGTTATACTGCAATCTCTCTCTTCTCTATGGAGTAGCTCCCTCACTTAGATTTTGAGAAACCCTAGTTCCATGTGTTAGGATCTTTCTTGTTTAAAACTTTGGATGTTATAGTGAATGGTTTTAATCAATTGAGACATGATTGTTGAGTCAATTGAATCCTGATCACTTTCCTTTGATTTATGCTTTAACCTACGATAGATAGAATCTGATTGGGTTAAGAGAGCTTTCTCAATTGGTAGTAGGAAATTGATTGTACAAGAGTCAGTCAATTCACTACTTTGTATATGAATTCATTTCAGTAGTGGAGATCTTTGTGTATTTCCTTACCTTTGTACTCCGGTGGATTTTAGAAGTTGGATAGACCGCCAACTGCACAGCTCCCGCGACCGCGGCTTGCGATCGATCCGGTCGCTAGGACACACTTTTATGCAAGTGGTTCCCTAAATTTAGGTAGCTCCTCACTTCTTCTTTTTGCCGCTGGTTGTTGGCCCCAAAGGTCGAACCCAGGGTGTGGTGTAAGTTATCCTCCCCACATTACCACTAGGCCAACTCTTTGGGGTTTTGTAATTTTTCAGTAATACACACGTTTTTAAAAAAATTTCTCAAAATACACACGTTATAAAAAAATTCGCAATCTACACATGTTTGAGCATCATCGCGGTGAAGGCCTGATATAAGGCTAAAACTTTAAACGAACGTAACTTTGCGTTCAGTTATCCGATCGTAGCGAATTGTTTTTTTTTATTCTGCATAACTTTTTGAGATCTTGCAAGACAAAGGCAGTTTGGTACCTTTTTCATCCAAAAAAAACTTATTTGCTACCACGAACAAGCAATTTTTCAATTTTGTCAAACTTTGGAATGCCATAACTTTGTACTCTGCAATCCGAATGTTACGATTCTTTTTATTTTGCATAAATTTTTAAGGACTAAAACTTTTATCATAGCCATAATTTCATAATGTATGTGGATTTATGAAAAGTAAAGACAAAGTTATCCCCAAAACCCCGTATATCCAAAATTATTTCTTGTTTTGAAAATTCTTTCATAGTAAAAGTTGCAGTCTTTAAAAAGTTATGCTTAATAAAAAAAAATCATGACTTTTGGATTGCGGAGCACAAAGTTATGGTCTTCCAAAGTTTGGCGATTATCAAAATACACATGTTATAAAAAAATCCAATGTACACATGTTCGGGCATCACTGCGGTTGACTAAGGCGGTGAACACATGCATCGACACTTCACCACAGCGGAGGACGCAGTGATGGTTCGCCGCGGTAGAGGAGCGCGGTGGAACCTTCACCGCGCTAGAGGACGACGATGAATGTGCGGTGAAGGCTTCAACGCGTTTCTCGATCGCGGTGAAGACCTAACCTGCGTCAAAACTTTAAACGAACGTAACTTTTAACTCGGTTATCCGATCGTAGCAAAAAAAAATTTTGATTCCACATAATTTTTCGAGATCTTGCAAGTCGCAAACTGCTTTCGTACCAAAAAATTGATGTTTGCTATCTCGAAAGAGCACTTTTTTTATTTCGTCAAATTTTGGATTGTCATAACTTTGTGCTCCGCAGTCCGAATGCCATGAATTATTTTTTGATTTCTCATAACTTTTTAAGGAATACAACTTTGATAATAGCCATAATTTTGGAATGTATGTGGATTTGTAAAAACTAAAGGCAAAGTTATTCGCAAAACTCAGTATATCCACAAATATTTAATGTTTTGAAAATTATCTCCTACTAAAAGTTGTAGTCCTTAAAAGTTATGCAAAATAAAAATAAAAAAATCATGACGTTCGGAATGCGGAGTACAAAGTTATGGTCGTCCAAAGTTTGATGAAATTGAAAAATTGCTAGTTTGGGGTAGCAAACGATATTTTTTCGGGATGAAGGCAGTATTTAACGGTTTGCGACTTGCAAGATCTCGAAAAAATATGTGGAATAAAAAAAAATTCGCTACAACCGAGCACAAAATTACGTTCGTTTAAAGTTTCAACGGAGGTAAAGTCTTCACTGCGGCAGGGAACGCGGTGAATCCTTCACCGCCGTTGAGAATTTTTTTTAATGTGTGTATTTTGAGATTTTTTTTAAAAAATATGTGTATTTTGTAATTTTTTCCTAAATAATTATAGGTATAAACCCAAAACTTTACCCATTTACCATGTTTTGGATTTCATACAATCCAATTGGGTTGGATAGTAAAATACCCATGGATTTGGGCAAACTTGCCATATCTAATCATTTTGTTTCAATGAATTTAGCAAGGATCCGATTTGGCAGAAGTAAAATGAGAATGAAACATTTAGAAATGTCTGGAAAGTTTGGTTTTTAACTTTTGGCAAAATACACTTTCATAGCGACAACTATCACGTTTGTGACAGATATAACCACATCTTTCGCAATACACAAAATGATCACTTCCATCAACAAATTTAACAACATTACTTAACGGTGTGACTGAACATACGAAAATGTTGAG